ATTATTTGAGGAACTGCCATACTGTTTTCCACAGCAATTGCATGGATTCACTTCTGTAATCTGCCCTTTTTTCCACTTAAAAATATAGTCTGAGAATTTTCCCAGGTCATTAATATTCTTCTTATATGATACAATTTTCAGAGACTGCATAGGAATCCATCGTTTGCTTAACTAATCCTCCATGAGGGAATAACTAGTCACAGCTTTTCTCTTATAAATGATATACTGATAGGCATTCCTTAGATAAAGCCATTCCTTAGGTAAAGCTTTACAGTCACTACTCCTCAAGATACAATTCCTGAGTCAAGAAGTGTGAGCATTTCTAACAACTAATAAAGGTATAATGACATACAATAAACTGCACATATTTAAAGCACACAGTTTGATGGGTTTTGACAGATGCATGTAACTGTCAACAATCAGCACAATCAAGGTAATGAGCAAATCCTTCACCCCCAAAAGTTTTCTCATGCCGTTTGTAGTCCTTCCCTCTCCTCCTCCCTTGCTGGGTCATGTGGTAGGGATATGCTTCACTTTTTAAGAAACTGCCAAACTGTTTTCCAAAGTGGCTGTACCATTTTACATCCCACTAGCAATGACTGAGAGTTCTAGTTGCTCCACATCGTCACCAACAATTGGTATGATCAGATTTAATTTTAGACATTCTAATTAGGTGTACAGCAGTATCTTAGTACGGTTCTAATTTGCATTTTCCTAACAACTAGTGCTGGTGAACATCTTTCCATGTGTTTATTTACGACTCATACCTCTTCTTTAGTGAAATATCTTTTCAAATATTTTTTCCATTTTTTAAATTGGGTTGTTTGTTTTCTTATTACTGAGTTTTAAGAGGTCTTTATATGTTCTAGATACAAGTCCTTTATCAGATATGCAATTTGCAAGTATATTCTCCTGGTCTGCGATATGTCTTTTCATTCTCTTTACAGTATCTTTCAAAGGTCAGAAGTTCTTAATTTTGATAAAGTCCAGTTTATCCATTTTTTTATGGATCATGCTTTTAGTATCATCTAAGAAACCTTCCTTCCCCTACCCAAGTTCACACAGATTTACTGCTATGTTTTTTCTAGATGTTTTATAATTTTTAGTTTTACATTTATGTTTATAGTCATTTTGAATTAATTCTTACGTATACTTTAGTATGGATCAGAGTTCATATTTTCACATATGGACATGCAACTGCTCTAGCATTATTGGTTGAAAAGACTTTTCTTTATCCATTGAATTGCCTTTCCACTTTGTCAAAAATCAATTGACCATATATGTGTGGCTCTGTTATAGGCTATGTATTCCACTGATGTATGAGTCTAACTTTATACCAATACCACTCTGTCTTGATTTCTGTAGCTTTATAATAATTCTTAAAATTAGGTAGTGTAAGTTCTCTAACTTTGTTACTTTTCAGTTATTTCAGCTATTTTATGTCCTTTGCATTTACATATGAATTTTAGAATCAGCTTGTCAACTTCTACAAAAATAAAAGCCTGCTGGGATTGCACTAAATCTATGTATCAGTTTAAAGAAAATTGTCATCTTAACAATATTGTCTTCTGATCCACAAGCATGGTATGTATCTACATTTATTTAGGCTTTCTTTATTTCTCCCAGAATAAAATGCTTTGTAGTTCTCAGCATGTAGACCTTGTACATTTTTTGTTAGATTTGTCCCTATGTGGTTAATGTTTTTGATGTTATTGATGTTATTGCAAGTGATAGTGATTTTTTACTTCATTGTCCAATTGTTCATTTCTAGTATATAAAAATATAGCTGGTTTCTGTCTTATACCCAGCAATCTTGCTAAACTCACTATTATTCCTAGTAGCTTTTTTTTAGATTCCATATAATTTTCTACATAAATGATCATATTTTCTGCAAGTAAAGATAGTTTTACTTCTTCCTATCCAATCTGGATACCTTTTCTTTTTCTTGCCTTATTGTACTGACTAGAACCCCTAGTATGATATTAAATAGAAGTGGTAAGAGTAGACATCTTTATCTTCTTCCTGATCTTACAGGGGAAACATTCAGTCATTTCACCTTAAGTACATTGTTGCAGAAGCAGAAGTCTTGAATGTGCATTTTCAGGATTTTTGATAAGTACAGACTCCAGGAAAGTGCCAATTCACACAACCTCCAGCAACGTGTGAGAGGGTATCTTTTCCTACACCCTTCTCAATGTTAGGCATCATCTTAGAAAAATTAAAGCCTGCCATTCTTAATGTTATCTAGCTATTTGAAGTTTGTTTCTTTGACTGTTAAGGGAGATCAGCATCATTTAATGTTTACTGGCCAATTGTATTTATATTATTAGTTGTCTGTGTCTTCTGCTCATTTTGTCTAATGGAGTGTTCATTTTATTCATTTCTTTCTTAGAAATTTCATAGTAACTTTTTAAAGTTCGAATGTCCTTAAATATATCTAGCGTATATGTCTGTAATATTTTATCCAATTTGTCTTTTGCCTTTTACTTTTGTTTATGGATTTGTTTTTTGTTCACTATTTTTAATGAAATTTAGATTCACAGCAAAATTGAGTATAAAGTATAGAGATTTCCCCTGTATCCCTTATCCCTCCAACACAGGCTTCCCACTATCAACATCCCACACTATCAACATCCCACACCAGAGTGGTACATATGTTACAGTCAATGAACCTAGCCTACACTGACACATTATTATTACCCCAAATACATAGTTTACATTAGGGTTCACTCCTGGTGTTATACATTCTATGGATTTGGACTAATGTATAATGACATGTATCCACAAATACATTATCATACAGAACAGTTTCACTGCCCTACAAATCTGTGCTCTTCCTATTTGTCCTTCTCTCCTCCTTGACCCTTGGCAACCACTGATCTTTTTACCGTCTCCATAGTTTTGCCTTTTCTGGGATGTCGTATAGTTGCAATCGTATGGAATCTGGCCCTTTTAGATTGGCTTCTTTCACTTAGTAATATAGATTTAAGTTTCCTCCATGTCTTTTCCTGGTTTGATAGCTCATTTCTTTTTAGCTGAATAATATTTCACTGTCTAAATGTACCACAGTTTATTTATCCATTCACCTAGCCAAGAACATCTTAGCTGCTTCCAAGTTTTGGCAATTATGCATAAAGCTGTTATAAACATTTGTGTGCAGTTTTTGTGAAAACAGAAATTTTCAACTCATTTGGGTAAATACCAAGGAGAGCAATTTCTAGATCATATGGTGAAAGTATGTTTATATGGGTTCTTTTTTTTATGAATTTTAAAACTCATTGAAGCCTTGACTTTTTTTTGTTGACAAATCTATCAACCTTTCTTTCATAATTTTTATCTTTGATTTTGATTAGAAAGGTTTTTCCTATCCAAATTCTACAAATCTTCAGTAGCTTCTAAAATAGTTCTTCTTTCAATAGGTCTATGGTTTCATTTTATTTTTATATTTCAATCTTTGTTTTATTTTGACATGAGGCAGATATCTAACTTCATTTTCCCATGGCATTCTTTTCACTTTCCTATTTACACACAACTCCCATTTTACAAACAAGGAAACTGAGGCAGAGAGGTAACTCATTGCATTTAAGGTCACATAGTCATTAATTTATATAGTCAGGATTCAAACCCAGATCTTTGGGTGCCAAGTCCTGTTCTATTCACCACAGCCTTGGTACTCAAAGTATGATCCATGGACAAGCAGCATTTGAAACAACTGGGAGCTTGTTAGAAATGTAGTCTTGAGTCCCATCCCATACTCACTGAATCAGAATCTGCATTTCTTTCAAGTTTGAGAAGTACTGTTGTGCATCTATTCCCCCGATTTAGGGTACATTAGAATCACCTGAAGGTTCTTGTTGACCTTCATCCGTCCTCAGTATTTTAACTCAATAGGTCTGGGTTGTTGACCAGAAATCTGCATTTTAACAAGCATCCCAGGTTATTCTTATGTAAGTGACTCCTTGGACCATACTTGAGAAATACTCTAAAACTGAGAAGTATTCTAAAACTGTAACCTGGTGACACCAAAAAATGATAGCCGATTATTTCTCCCAATCTCAATTTAGGTGTATCCTTTTCACCTGAAGGTGGTAACAATAACTCTTTTTAATGCTAATATGTGGAAATGAGGTTGTAGTAATAAGGATGATGACTAAGTCTTCAATTTTACAAAACAACAACAACAACAAAGAAAACTAAGGGCAAAAGGCGTTTAATCGATTCAGAATTTGGTGGAGGTAGCGTCAAGAAGTAGGAGAAACATCTACCCGAGTACATTAGAGTCTACTTCCCGTACTTCAAATTTTGTCAGTTATGCCCGTGATTCAAAATCTCGTTGTCAATAAAATTAGAGGAGTAATAACCTTCCAGTGGGTAGAAAGAAACTGCCTGTCAACTTTATGAAGTTTTTCCCCCCGTATCGCTATCTTTAGGGCTGCGATGAGTAAACGTTCCTGGAGACTAAGCGCCTCTGGAGGCTCGATTTTTATCAGCTCAGATTTGCCTGGAAGCCGACGCCACCTGGCTAGAGGTGGGGCCCGGCAACCCAGGTGGGCCCCTCCGAGGGCGGGATTGCACGGGCAAGTTGGAGGAACGCCCTGTTCCCCGCCCTAGTCCTCCAGAAGGATTCCGTCAATAATTTATTAAGAACTTCCTCTCCATTGGTTGGCTCCTCCACCCATGCTGGCAGCGGCCCAATGAGGAAGGACTTGAGAGAGCCCTCCTGAATAGTGAACGAGCTCTCGTGACGTATAGGCTGAGGATTGGCTGAGACGGCGGGAGGCGGGGCCAGCCCGGGCGGCAGCGAGCGTGTCTCGGGCAGCTCAGTGCGTGCCGGTGAGGGTCGAACGCCGAGTCGGGTGGGAGCTCAGGACCCGCACCAACAGGGCGAGCTCGGGGCGCGGACGTGCTGACCGGCGGCAGG